CCCTTTTGCAATTATAGTCACTATGTTACGTAAAGTAAATCTACAAAGAGCTAGTCTTTTATGTTTAGAAACGTTGATTAAAGTAAACGCCCAGTTGAATCTTTTTTCCGCTTCGTCCGATGTTTTTGAAAAAATAAACGATATAACAGTATAGAGCGAGGAGATGACCCTTGTGAAAATATTTCAGACACGAGCGGCACCTGACTAGAACTACCAACCTTCCGTAAAACTAGCTTGATTGATTCCTCACATACAAAGAATCCAACGCATGACAGGATTTCATTCACAGCAGTAAAGGAAAAAACTTTCCGACTTATCCCGACTCAAAAAAAGATATTGTAATTATCTGACCTTAATTTATTCTCTATAACTTTCAATATTATTTTCTTTTTAAAAAAAGAAGAAAACTTCTATAAACTGTCTGAAATAAAAAACGACATTTAATTTAATAATGACAAAATAATCTTCACTTCAACAAAGAACTATTCGAGATGACACCGGGGTCATGATTTAATTTGAATGTTTTTGGTTCGAGATGAGAAGGATTTTTAAATATTGCCTTTTTTAAAATCTATATATTGGGAGTTCGTATCCTAGATTGCAACCGAAATCATGTGTACGACAAATGGACGAATAGCCATCGGGCCAATAAGCTCACCACTTGAGTTTTTAAAGATCTAAAAGTCTATGTATCATTCATACATTTTATCTAATATATACACTTAACAAAACTTATAACTGTGCAGTTTTTAAATGTGAATAACTTTTTTATTACTTGACATTTTTTACCCAAATTTTGGAATTCATCGTTTGAATGGTTTATTTTTACAATGCTATATTCAGAAATAACGGTTATTTTTGTTGTGTGCGTTCATCCGTGACATGACATAAACAACAAAGTGCACGTGAGGGTGACAGGTTGGCGCTAAATGAAGTTATTATTGACCATCAAGGATTCTATTAAAATAAAGACATCCAAAAAACATAAATTTATTGCAGAATTTTTGCAATTGAAAGAAAAATGGCCGTCTAGAAGTTTTACGCAAGGGAATTTGCATTTCAGGTGCCCATTTTGAAAATAAATTTGCATAATATTTTCTCAAATAAACATATTGACTAAGATTTTACTTTAAAACTAAAAACAAACTTTCTTGGTACTTTCATATTAATGAAAATATCGTGTTTGCATTGCTTTTAGCAACTGGGTACAACGCGTTACGGAGATCGACATAAACCAGTCTTTACTGAAATTCAATAAAGCAAATATTAAAATCACAGTGACATAATGCCCTGGAATTCATTGTAGTATTATACCCTATCGGTGATCCTATGTTTTATGTTTGTATTTTAGTGAAATCAAGAGATTTAGACCTTTTTGCACCCAATATAAATACACATTTTACAGAAATGTGAAATTCGGTTTTCGCGCATTATTGCACACATCGCCATTTCTCAGTAAGTACGAATCGCCCTGACATAAAAATCGATACCCATCATTGCACATATCTGTACTATACTTGGTTAAAATTTCAGAGACCTATGTTTATTAGTATCTGAGAAAATTTGATTTTTATACGTGCACACTTATAAGATTTGTTAAGTGTATAGCAAATATCGAGGTCTAAGCTGTTACCGAAATATGGGTATAAATTGTAACAAAATCGGATAAAAATCGCTAGGTCTATGTTGTAACCCTGCACAATTCACCTCACTCTATACTGTTTATTGTTTCAAACGCATTAAGCGAACAAGGAAAATAGGTTCAACTGGTCCTTCACTATTATAAACGTTTCTAAACACAAAAGACTAACATATTTTAGAAACTAAGCTACTTGTATTATGGACCGGAATAAAATCACTTATCTGTCCTCACCACAAATAATCCTTTATCTTAAAAATACTACACTGTAACAGGAAACGCGATACTGTAACACGTTCCCGACGGTGAACAACGTCAATATGATTGAGAGTGATCTTTTCCGTAGTTTAAGCGTTCTTTTGTTGGATGGTATTTGTTATCTTGGACAAGCGAACCTTATAAACAGTAGCAGGATTCCTGGCATTTGTGAAGCCATGCGATGAAATCATTGAGCTGATTGTTGTTCACTACCTCCAACATGGCATTGCTTCGGTGTTCCATCAGGATGACACCCGTCCACTCACTGCCAGGCACACACAGAACGAGCCTTAGCAACAGACTATTAACATGTTTGATTGGTTGTCAAGATCACTAGACCCATCACCGATTGAACACTTGTTGGATCAGCTTGGTAGAAGGGTCTCGCAAAGAGATGATGTGAACATTGTGAATTACTTGAAATAAGTTTACGCGAAGAAATGTGTTGGAATATCTTTAAGATCAATAAGAAAGCTAATAAACAGTATGCGAAAGCGATAAGATGCAGTTCTGAAACTGATTAATGCACAACACTATTTTATATCGGCGGGAATAGATAAAATGATGAATTTGATAGTTTTGAACATGTTGTGATCACATCTTCTTCACTTTCCGTCTACCTATCGACTCCCCATTTCAGACTTAAATCAGTTTATCATATTGGAAAAAAGAATAAAAAATATAGGGGAAGGTGGATTCCCCCAACAAATTCTTCCAAACGTTCTGATTGTTTTCATATTTTGAGAAATCTAACACATGTGTGTCTATTGACTTACGGTAGAATACCCCTGATAGGCACAAAAAGAGACTGTAAAATTGACAACGTAGGACAGTTATATGCCTTAAAGGACACCTCTATGCAAATTTTTAAACAAAATTTACCGTATGGTTTCACAGACACTTGGGGTTTGGAGCTCAAAACGCCTTTAAAATCCAAATAAAATGCATATTTGTCAATCCCAGCACATGTACTGATCATATATATCAAAAAACTTAATATAAGCCGATTTGAAAAAATTCATATTTCAACATCTATAATAATACACAAGATAAAAATGTTCGCCGGAAAAAATCCGCACCCCTACCGTCATAATCACCATGTATTTTATTCCATTTCCAATATTTTCACATAATCCTTTGGTCCATCGACACAGAAGATATAATTCTTCACGATGATGGTCAATTTTTAACTTCAACGGTAATATAATCAACGCAACAGCCGAAATAAACATCAATATTATCGCCGGTTTCCTTCAATGACATTATCTTTCGATAAATTCAAACGTGCCAGTCGGCTATGTGCTGGGATTGACAAATATGCATTTTATTTGGATTTTAAAGGCGTTTTGAGCTCCAAACCCCTAGTGTCTGTGTATGGTTTATGAGAAATGGATTTTTTTTTATCTATAACTTTGCTATTAGACTGGCTCTTTTTCAAAATGAGTAAACTCTAAATAATCTATAATGTCATCCTTATGAAAAAAGATTTCCCATTAATATTTGGTAAGAAACAAAAAAGTAACATTCAGCTAATAATCCACATAAGCAAAATAGTAGTTTCTATTCATAATTTACGTATGAAATTTTACACTTCTCCACCCATTTTAATACGTGTTTGACCATTGTCCAACAAAGAGTGCCTAATTGAAAAAATCCCTTAACGTTACCAAAATGAGTGACGGTTTTCAAGGTTTCCCTAATTTTTTTTCTCGAAAGGATATTGCTTGACTTTGTAAAATATTATATTCTTCCAGTTTTGATTTTATTACACTTTGAAAATATCAAGTAACATACTTGTTATTATATTTAGCATTGTTTAGTCAATAAATATCTACAATAATTACATAATTGAAAATAAAAAGCACTTTTTTCTTTCCATAAGTGATCTGAGAGATACATTACTAATGTTTAAAAATAAGAAATGCCCCTTCTGCGGTTTGAACCCGCGCCCCTCAAATTCAAAGCAGTTTACAGTAATTCTAGCCTATGAATACATGCATTTATTAGGGGTATACTACCTTAAAAATATTAATCATTTTTATAAATAATACCAATTTTGATAAGTGTGTCTCATAATGCATCTCTAATCACACTTTCCTTTTCATAATCAATAAAGATACAATAAAATTTAGCCTTGTTAGATTAAACCTTAGAATAATCGAATTTCAATGTAAAATGAATATACTTTCAGTTGTAAAATGCTTGTGTCTAAATTTAATTATTGCGACTCAATAAAAATATCACATTTTCCCTATAATTTATTCCACTATTTCTGAACAGCAAAAAATAGTTTTTCCAAAATACAATAATTATTCGTCTATAATTAAAGGGATTACTTATATAGCACTTTTTTCTGTATTTGGTATAAAATACCCATACATCACGATTCTTGATATAAAACAAAATCAACTAAATAAATCGAAATGTTGCTAACCATGTGTGTTTATAATATTTTCCATGTCACACCACTGTCATGTATTTTGTTAGTCTGTCTGTCTATCTTTCTATCTATCTACCCTAACCTTACCAAACACCTATCTACATACCAACCTACTTCAAAATTAAACATTTTATACAAAATAAACCTGAAACTTTTATACTTGCAAGACAGATATGTCGATTAGGCCAGCTTTAAAATTATTTTTGTTTCCCAATCCGCGACCCATGCGAGTTTGTGTAGAGAAGGTAGGTAGGTCGAAAAAAATCAAAAGTCTTTTAGTGTATCTAAAATAACAAAATAAATAAAACTAAGCGTGGATATTTAGCAATTGTACAACCATATTTTCACTTTTTTTTTTCAACATTATCTCATTAAATATACATTCAATTCAAAAATATCAGAGTCAGCATTGTTGTTGTTGTGGTTGTTTTGCAATACAAATTTTTGAGTAGCTGTGATTTTTGCTGGAGGGGAACAATAAAAAACTTTTTTTTTATTTTAATCAAAGTATCAATGTATATTAAAATTAGGAAAAAAAGTAAATTATTGGCCCATGACTTTTAAATATGCAATGATAGTGCTCATATGTATTATGGTATGTATTCTTAACGGCAAAATAAAAACTATTAAAAGTTAAGACAATATAAAACGGTTCTATTTCAGTACAGAACGTACCAGTTTCTTGGTAATTTGGATCAGTGTGTTTTAGGGGATACGACTGGGTTCATTTTGTCAACTGACATTAAGCCATTCCTAGATGACATAAAACTTATTCTAAAAGGACATGTCAAATCAGGATATAAGGTAGGTTTATTATAGGTTTTGTAGGTTTTGGGCCCGTTATGCCTTTTTTTATTTCACACCATTACGTGTCCTTCTCCTCCTTTTGCCGCCCTTGTGTCCTCTCCCGGTTTTGGTTTGGTGCATACTAGGTTCCCTGCTGTGGTGGCTTGGTGTAAAGAGGGGCTGCGTCCTGTGATTGGATTTGCCTTATAGATCTTTATTCACGTTATGCTCAAAACCGTGTTTGTGTCGTGTGGCGGCCGTTAAAAGTCTTGTACATACAATCAATGTTCTTATATTTTTCACCCTCAATGAATTCATTGTTGTCCTTTTTCACGTCCTGCATACGTTTCCCATTCATTCTATTTACTTTTTATACTCTTTTAAAAGCAATGCGTTCACTGTTGCGTAAATTATTTTGTTTAGTTTTCATAAATTGTTTTAGGTCTCTATTTGTTTCAGACTTTCAGTTTTTCTATCGATGCACCATTTTTCAATGAAAGTCATTTATTGCATACACAATCATGAGTGATTTTAATTTAAATAATAGTATATGTATTTCTCTTCTTCGGATACACTCTAGACCTGTTAATTCACACCAACATTACATTATTACAAGAAATACATCTTCTGTCGTTCTCTCATTCTCTCACCTCTAATTGTGTCATCTGTTAATTCGATTTATTTTCCGCAGTCTTTAATTTTGCAATTTAACATTTTCAGAAATTAACTACGTTTTAGAATTTCACCCATTTAAAATACAATTTTAAAGAAGTACAATATCAAACAGACTAATTTTCCTTATAGGTCTAGAGTGTAACCTTCTATAAACAAATGTAATTCTAAGAGGTGGGGTGTTATAACGGTTTATCGCACATGTCTACTATTACCGCTACAGTTAATGGCAGAACATTTCATAAAATTTTCATTTCTGATTTAGCAAACAGTCAACACATTTTACTTATGCGTTAACATGGAATGCTTACGGTTGCGGCTTTCAGTATGTTGGGCGAACAGAACGTTCTATTAAAATTAGATTCCGAGAACAGTTCTAAAAAAGAGAGCTCGTAGCAAATTTCTACTCTTTTGTATCAAAACTTTAGAAAATTTATTCTTTTCAGCCAGTGAAACAAATTATTTTAGATTCTTATACTTCGTCTTGTTTTAAAGTAAAAGCCAGACACTTGATCTCTTAGTACTTACGATTTCTCCGACCTATACACAACATTGCCACATAAACTTTTAAATGTTGAATTTATAGCTTCAATTCAAGAAACACGTGCAAGAAAAAATGTCACTTTTCTTGCTTGTTATTCAAAGAAGGCTTTTATTACTAATGGCATCATTAAACAATATACAAAGTGGACCTGTGACAAGTTTCCGGAGCACTTGCGTTTTTATTAGAAAACCTCTGTGTCAGGTTTGGTAGTACAGTTTTCAAGCAGAAAATAGGCATTCCAAGACTAACTCTTCATACGTTAAAACATCTTATTTATGTGTTATGTTCTAACTAAGAAAATGAATACTGGCACTTGTATGTGTTATTTGAAAATAAGAAAGTTATGACAGTTTAACTACAACAATAACAAATTGAAAAAGTGTTCTTAAAGCTCTGTTTTAAAAATATTTAAATTTTATCAATTGCTTGTTCTAGATAAGAAAAAATAAACATATATTAACTCTTGTTTCAAACAAGCTTCAATGATTTTACTGTTTTAATGATGATTGCTAATCATTACCGGTGGTCAAAGAACTGAAGTTAACCTCTGTATAACGCATTCTATCCGTTAGTTAACTTTTGAACAACAGAATTTATTTAACAGACAAATTTTAGCCAGTGGATAATGATTTCCCCCGTTTGTTATTACAAACTAATGTTTGAACAACAGAGTCCTGCTGTCATCACTAAAATTATCAAACGGTTTATGAAAAGAGGTTACGTCCCAATGATTTTAGGCATACCGCATGGTTGGTGTTCAACCCTTTAACAGTTGAACGCTACGCTTTCCTCTTTTAATAACATCCGACGGTCTTAGTGGGAGACTCTATAAAGGACACTTCTTAAAGCCCTTTGAGACTGAATTGTCTTCTCTTGCTTGGTCGGGCCCTTATAAGTCATTTTTGTGTTGCTCTGTCTTCCCTTAAGGCATCGAGCACTTTGGTAATAATGATCATTAGGCTGTACCTTTTTGTGCATATTTACACAGTTATTTCTTTTTTATTTATTTCGTCTTATGTAACTATGATCATTGTTAGAATTTCACGTAGCGAAATACTTGATACTTGTTTTAAATGTTTGCATGTTTAATGACGCCTGCCTTGTTGGATTGTCGTTGACGGTAGGTGTTTTCTCACTACCCCCCCCCCCCACACACACACTCTGTCTTCCATTTTTACCCCTTTTTCACCCTTACAACCCTTGTCACTTACATTTAAGTTTTGGGCCGTTTTGGAATTTTGTCATTTTAACACATTACAGTAGGGTGAGCGTTTCAGTTTACACGAAAAACGTACGCTGTGGAAAATACGCACGCTCGTTACACGCTATAGGAACAAAGGGTACACGCACGCATTACCAAACGAATACGCAGACGCACGCAAAAAGATATACGCTAACGAAATACGCTAAACAATATACGCACGCTAAAACGCACGCAAAATAAAAACGTTTCTAAACGTGAAATACAATATCGTAATTTTATCATTTTTAACATTTTTAGCTCTATTTAAGATATTTGTAACTTCTGAATAGTAATAGAAGCAAAACATGGTACTTTAACGTTTTGACGAACGCAGACGCACGCTAAGCGTTTCTGGGGATAACAAACGCACGCTTTCAAACGCACGATAAACGATATACGTTAAACACTTGTAAACGATGCACGCTTGAGAAAGCGTTTTATCAAACGCACGTTGCACGATATACGCACGCACGAAAAACGCACGCACGAAAAACACTACTTTAGACAACCGAAACGTTCACCTTTCTGTACGTGTCCCTCTCCTCCTTTCGCCATCCTTATGTTCACTTCTGGTTTTTTGTTAAGTGCCTTCTGGATGCCCTGCTGTGGTTGCTTTAATGTGTCGGGGCTGCGTCCAGTAAAGGTTGCCTTGTTGCTCTTTATTCTCTTTGATATTATTTTTGTTGATCATTGTGTGTGTGCTTGTGTTTGGGAGTTTTTATGTATAATATATTCTTTTGTAATCTATTGTTATTGGTAGTGGCGATTTCGGTTTCTGTGTTGTTTTATGTTGTTGTTTTTTGTTTTTGTTTTGTTTTGTTTGTTTTTTTGTTGTTTTTTTTTGTTTTTGTTTTATTTTAAATTTTTCAATGGATTTAAGGTTGTTTTTCACCTTCAATCATAATGCATTTAAATGTAAAAACGTCCTCTACTTTCCAAAACACTTTAAGGCTAAAGTAACATTTCAACATTAAATATCATGTTAATTGCTCATAGATAATATGACGTATTAGATCAACGTCCTGTGTTGGAGGACTGCCGCCCTTCCTTGTTGATCTTGTTTTTCATATTTGTCGACAAAGCAGATTTATTTTGGCTTTTTATTGGTATTTATTTTGATTAATGTATGTGTATAAAACATTTGTATCAAAGATATCGTAGATAAAATGCTTTTCAATTGCAGTTTGATCCGGACAAAAGTATATCTCCTGAAGACGAGTATTATGAACCAACGCCTGGGCTTTCGGATAAGATGCACTGTGTAATAATTGTCTCTGAGTGTGGACAGTCATATGAGCTGCATGCGAGTATGACAGTTAATATCAAATCGATCATGGATACAATACATTCATTGAGTATATATATTTATTACTCTTCTAGATTTACCCCTTATTTGGTTGGATTTTGATCCGCCGAAAGAAATTGATATATCACAGAGCAAGACAGGTTATGTGCTCATCAAATATCCCTTTTTGGTGCCCAAGGTTGTAAACAATATGAGCTGTGAAGATGCGCGTATGGTCGATTTTGCGCTCCGGTTACGTAATTTTGCGGCGTAGGGTGTCCTAAAGGGAATCTTATTCCGATGTGTAATTTTAAACAGTATTGATTTATTTGAAAATTGTCTTTCTCGGCAGGAGAAGAGTAATAAAATATTTATTTTGTTTAAGAGGGGTATATGTTGATACATTACCTGCCAAGATAAAATATCCTCCTCCTCGCGTACCTGCTCGGGTTATATGAAATCCTGTTAGATACTATATTCACATATATTACTCCAAAACAAAAATAACAATTAATATACAAAAATTATGTAAATTGCATATATATATATTGGTATAATATAATAAGTTCTAACATTGGTTCAACTTTTGTAACTGCTACGTTTTTTAACTTTCAAAGTATTCCCCCTCTACCAGAATGCAATTCTGTAATCGACCTTTCTAATAGCTGAACAATAATCTTTTTTAGAATCTGTCACAGACAGTGATAAATTGTGCTGCCAACAGAACTTGTTGATGTATATTTAACGAGAAGGCATTTTATTACGCCTGGAAAACAATAACAAGTAGAAGGGAAATAACAGATAGTTTTTTTCATTGACATCTTAAACGACATGTTTGGTACAAACATTTAAAACAAACATGACAATTAATTCTAGTAAGCTGTGACATGCTCACAAGAACGGAGGATAGCACAAAACAGAGAAAGAGAGAGACTCTTATTACCATTCTGGTCGTCTGTGTTGGTTGCATGACATAGAGAGTCTTTATGCATTGCAAATCTTTTCAACTAAATATTATCACATTCATTTTACAGCATTGTATCACGAAGTTTAAACAGGATAAATATACTATGAAGTAAATGATCAAGCATTAGATATTTTACTTTAAGACAAATTAAATAAAACAATTATAATTCTAATCATATCACAGTCACAAATTTAAACCTAGCGGTAAAACATTTGGCAAGAAAGCAAGACGGTACCACGAAAATGTAGGATTGATAATTAAATAATGAATATTTCTTAGACTAAAAGGCATGCATCATTGCATATTAAATGATTAACGACTGAAAACCATTCATATACGGAAACAACATGATGTTGATTTAAAACTCACGTCAAAAGAGTATGTATTGAAAAATTACAAACTGTCTATCTTAATAGATACTTTGATGGAAGTTTACCTGCCAATGCAAGATAATTCAGCTGCCAATTTGTTCCACAACGAACAACACACTAGGCTGCAGGACTTTGAAACAAAACATTTGACCTTCGGGATAGCAAATGGACCATTGTTTCTGAACATGGTCTTGTAAGAATGAAAAGTGTCGTGTTGGATGAAATACTCTTCCATGTAACCGGGGGTCAGTTTATTTTTTACTTTAAAATATGACAAAGGTTGATCGGACCAACACGTTTATTGACCGGTAACAAGTTGAGTATTTGAGAGTGATTTGGGACGTGGTTAGCTTATTCCCAACACTTGATGATTATTTTTAAGAATCTTGAACGGACTGGGATACCATTTTAAACAGCAGTAATCAAAATGACATTGGATTAAGGACATACCTAGAAGTTAATTAGTATGTTGAGTACGATATAAATATTTCAAATTTGCATAAGCTTTCACCAACACTGACCTAGCCATTACATCAAAAGATAATGATTGATCCGAGATATTTCATCAAATAAGTTGAATCAATGGCTGTGTCATTACATTTAATATTTAGACATGACCTAAGTATTTTTTAGACCCCCAAAAAAGATTTTTACTCAGTATGCTTTTAATGTAGTAAATCATATAAGTATGGCTAACGAGTTTGCAAATCGTCCTCTAGGGCATTTTAACATCAGTCTGATATTTACCTGGGGACCAAGGATTGAAGTTTGTGAAACACCACATGTAATCCGAGCGCCAGATGAAACATCAACAAGCTGTCTTCTATGAGAAAGATTTGACAATGTCATTTCAACATATTACCACCACGTCCAGCCGTTCTTAATTTCACCCGAAGAGATGGGTGGTCTACAGCATCGAATGCCTTCTTGGAGATCTAACAGAATCATTCCATACCCATTTGCATTTTTATATAGTCTGTGAAATGAATAAACACGTGTCTGTAGAAAACCTATGACTCTATTTGGTCATATACAACTACTAGTATCTAAAACATCTAAGATACAATGCTCAATATAGAAACCGGGCGATAATTGCCTAATGCAGTTTTTATTTTTTTTAAAAAATGGGATAACTCTAGCAGCTAGGCTCATCGGAAACCCCAAACCCTTTTACAAGAAGGGCCAGTAAATGCATGGTTAAAGTAGTGTTTTGAATAAATATGTCACGTTTTTTTAAAAAAAAAAATTTTTTGGAATGTCAAAAAAGTCAGCAAAAAGGGCCCGGGGATGACGCATATCTCCCCATAGCAGTTTTCAAAAAAGAAACATAAATTTTGGGGGTGTCTATTCCCACTAAAGAATGACCAACAAATATATCTACTTTTAAGATTTAATGTCTGTAGACTTTTACTGATCAATTATATATAGGGACATTCAGCTATATCAGAGTAGAGGTATAAACCAACATATAAAAATACATCACGTCCTCTTCCCTTTTCTAAAAAAAATTAAATCATGTCTATTTATTAAGAATTTACAGTAAAACAATGTACAGGTATATTTTTTATGTCCTGAATTGGATTAAGCACAGTTTCTAAAGCTGCTAAATTCAAGGCGATTCCCACTCACAGTATTAACATTTAGATAATGTTTAAAATACATGAGTAATTTTGCAAACTGAAATTTGTGTCATTTAAAGAATATTCCCGGCTTCTTGTGGTACTGCTCAGTTTAGAAAATTAATTTTCATTAAACATTTTAACACAAACTTACACATTTTATTACTAAATATTTTAGAGCTGAACTAAATTAATCAAAGCGAAGGATATTCCACACATAATTGCTTTACTTTTACTTTCTTTGAGTAAAACTTTTTTACATTTTGACCATCAAAAACAACATTTTGCACTACATAATCTCCCACCCCTCTTGATGCTTTTATTTTTCTGCCTGCTATTGTAGTTTGTGTCATCTTAACTAGCTATTCGGGGGGCTGGACTGATTGATCAGCCTTAGAAAGTTCGGATTTTATTGTAGGTTTAATAGGTTTAACCATGACAAATGTTAGAATTTTCACTTGGCGGGGATTCATTTTATTTACACTGGTCTCGTTTATAGTTAACAATTGGCTGGGCTAAGAGAGTGTGATTTAGTGCACCATTAATCGGTTTAAACTCCCTAGCAGTACTTATGCTGCTGCTGACCGTTCCAAGGCGGCGCCCCTCTGTGTTCCTCTGTATGTCTTTCTTGCCTCATACTGTTTTGGTGACACTTTTGTGTTCATTATTATTATCTCGTCTACGGTAAGTATCTTCCCCTTTGCCCCTTGTTTTTTATTTCTATTATTTACCCCCCCCCCCCCCCCCCCCCCCCCCCCCCCCACCCTCGCCCGTGTCTCCTATCCCCGTCCTCTGTGCCCGTTGACTCTATGGGACTTTTACTCAATCATTTATTTGTTTTCTTTGAATTTCTTATTAGTTACTAATTATTTTTTTCTTATGTATGTTTTTAAGTGATTAACCTGCTAATGGCTCTGCCTTGTGCCCTGTCTTGTTTTTATTTTGGGATCTTTCTTGGCTCCTTGCCACTGACTCTTGTTGCTGGATCGTGTAGAGGATGCGATCATTTAACGCGGACTTTCCTTGTTGAATTTGTTTATCATTTTAAACCCCGGATTTTCCCCTAGTTAAATTTTGTTTATATTTTTCTAATTTTGGGGGAACCCTTGAGTAAATATTCGGGTTTCCCTTGTTAATTAAAATCCCTATCGCCCTTTCTTAATACTTACAAAGGGCGGTTTTCTTAAACACCTTAAAATTATTTTGTTTCATTCCCCCAAAAAATTTAAATTTTTAAATTTTTGTACCAAAAAGATTTTGCAATTTTGCTGGAAGATCATATAGTCGCCGCCTTGTCCGTCTGTTCGTCCGTTGTTTTGTCCGGAGCATAACTTGATAATGCTGGGAGATAATTCGTTTAAACTTCACACATTGTTAGAGAGAAATAAGGCGGGGTGCAGTGTTAAAGAACCATTACTCTGAATAGCATTGCTTTTTTAAATCTCTCCTTTTAGCAAAACTTGGTTTTGGGAAATAAATCTAAAAAATTTAAAAATTATGAAACCTAAAAATTTTGAAGATCAAAATTTTTCTCATTGGGGAAAATGGCAATGCTAAGAACCATAACTTTTTTATTGCCTTGTTTGGGGTTTTTCCAAAAAATGCTTTTTTTTAAATTTTAAAAATAACTCTTAAATTATAAAAGATATCAACCCAGTTTCTATATCATGCTTTGTAGGTATATACATCTAATTGGGTAGAAGTGCAGTGCAAAAGAACAATATAACCCCGTTTTTTTATATCTCCCTCTGTAGAAAAATCTTGTTCGGGTCATAAGTCTAAAACAATATAGATATATTAATATGAAACATTGTATGTAGATAGATTTTATAGGTAGATGTGCAGTGCACAAGAATCGTAACTCTGCCTTATTTTGGTGTTATTGCCCTTTGTTTATTTTTATACTTTGAACTTTGTCCTGGACATAACTTGGAAACCATGGCAGGTATAAACAAAAACACTTTGTAGGTAGATGGATGTCATAAAATAGAAGTTCATTGCAAAAAGACCGTAACTCTGCCTATTGTTTGAGTAATTGCCGTTTTTCAATATAACACTGAACTTTGTCCGAGACGTAACTGTAAAACTACAAGAGATATCATCGAGAAACGAA